CTGCTCTCTGGCCCCCATCTGTGTTTGGCTCCCGGGTCGCTGGTACCAAGAAAGGCGCTGCTGGTAAATGTGCTTGTCAGCGCTTGCTCACAGATGGAGGAATACTTTGCTTTTTGCTGGTGCTACTGTACCAGTCGGCTCTTGCGTTTCCTGGAGGTTTTGCTCGGACTGCAAAGGGCTCGATTTGAAGGGTCGGAGTGGAAACGTACAGCAGAGATCTTTATTATTTTTCCACGGTACGGTGCTAGGTGTTTTTGCTGATGTAAGCGATAGCAAAAATAGCGTCGGGGAATTATAGCCCTAAGAAAAATTATGTAAATATCTGAGTGCATTAAAAAAACCCTGCTTACCCAGGGCTTGCGCTCCGATTTTATTCTGGGCTCTTTTTGTGGTTGAGGGGTAAATGCTAAAGGGAACAAAGAGCGATGTTTGTACAGACCCAGCTCATCAGAAACGGGGCGTGGGGAAGATTACGTGGGGAGTCCAAACATGCCCTTTGTCCCAATGGCTGGTTTTAATCAATTATATTGTAAATTCAGCTTCTGACCCGGCTGCGGGGAGCATCCGAGAAATTACATCACCTCTGTTCACGGTCTGCTGGTCAGGTGTGACTGCTGAAGTTTGAATCTCGCCGCTTGTGTCAGAGCATGACCCTCCCAAATAAATAGGGGTGTTTCTTCACCCCATTCCTCAGACCGTCTCCGGGGCCGAGCCTGCTGCGAGGATGCGAGCGCCGGCTGGGGAGGGGACGGGATCCCCGGTGCTCCCGTGGGTGCTGGTGCTGGTGCTGGTGCTGTCCCACTCGGCCCACGCAGGTGAGCTTCTGGTGTCTTTGCAGAGATACCCACGGCCGTCGGCTCCCAGCCTGCCGCAGTCCTCGCCACGGGTGGGCATCACCTGCATCCTGCGCTGAGAGGGACCGGAGGAGCCTGGGAGCCCTCCTGGCTCTTGAGTTGGGGGCTTTTCTCGTAGCCAAGGGAAGAGCACGCCCGGCCGCCTCTGCTAGCACCCAACTCCGCTTTCGGGAGCTGCGTGAGAGCCGGGTACCGAGGTAGAGGCACAGATAACGGTTTCTTCCCGTGGTCCCTAAGGCGTGGAAAGGGACACTTTCTTCGGCTCTCTGAGAGATCTGGAGTTGCTGCGTCTCTCAATAACGCTGTTTGTCTCGGTAAGTTGCTGCCTTCTCTCTTTCTCAGCCATCCTGGAGGTGAACGGAAACCTGAACTGTCGGTGCGTAAAGACAACTTCGGACTATATCAGTCCAAAGAGATACGAGAGCATTGAGATCAGACCTGTGGGAAGCACCTGCAGGCGTACAGAGATCATGTAAGTGCTGCCGGCCCCGCGCCGGGCACGAACCGGCTTTTTCCTCCGGCTCCCGCGGGGCTGGCGTCGCACCTTTCCTTCTGCGACCCCCCCTGCTTTTCCGCTCCCTTCCTAAAAACTAAAGCTTTGCGAAAATGCCGGCGAGCTCATTCACGCTTTGGGGCTGAGAAACATCAGGTCAGCTCAGGTGCAGGAATTGCAATCCCAGGCAACCTGCCGGCGGTGCCCAGGGCTTGAAGGAACCTTTCCAGCAAGGGAGAGGGTGGTTTCCTCATGCTGGTGCTTGGGGGACAGGGGGTGTGAAGGGAGGGGGGTGTTTGCAGTTCGGAGGATGCACATCCACGGACACCAAGGCAGGATGAGCCATCACCAGTTTTTCCACTACCGACGCGCAACGTTTCGGAAAGCAAACAGCATCTTGGGTCGAGCCTTGACCTCGTTACTGCTGACGAAAGCAGTGCGTTAAGCAGAAGTGCAGGATTTCTTTAACTGCTTGGCGTTGACACGTTTGTAAATCTACAGAGAAAATTGACTTTGAACGGTCACCTCTGGGCTTCAAGCGTGGTCTCCGCTCCGCACGGGAACATGTTGCATCTTGCTTTTTCCTGACGGTGCCGTGGCTTCCCCCCGTGGCTACGGCTCTCTGCGACCCGCCGGCTGTCGGCGAGAGCTGAGCCGTGCCGGTCGGCTCCGGCGGCTCGGGTCCCTGCCCTCGGCGGGGAGGGCGATGCTCATAAACTCTCCTTGCGTTTCAGAATTAAATTAAAAACCTCAGGGAAGGTGTGCGTGAATCCTGACGCCCCTTGGGTAAAGAAACTGCTGAAGCGTATTGCTAGCACGTAAGTCGCTTGGATGAAAACCCCTTTGGCTCAGGCGGTCCCGGAGAGGATCCCATCCCACCCGCGGTCCTGGGGAGCGCGCACAGGACCGGGGGCTCTCGGGGGAAGGGGGCTACCGGGGGCCAAGGGACCGGGT